TTTTGGCGGCGCAAAACTATACATGCCATTCCGATCCTATCGATGTATATTCGGCTGGCCTCTCGATTGGCCGCCTCGAGCGAGTTATAAAACTCGCACGCACTGTACGCCTCTTACAATACATACGCATATTCACTGACTGACAGCCCAACAATTTGCCAGCTATTATCGGATAAGCAAATAATGCCAAAAGCAATGACTCAGAAATGACCGTTAATTTCCTATGTGGAGTCCATTTCCCACCGCGACCAATTACCATGTGTTCGTGTGCTTTTCAAAAACTTACTGCTACATTCTTAAATTCAATGAACGTCAACGCCTCAAGCTGACGAGCACCGGATAATGACAGAAAGACCGAGATTCGTAGCCTAATTGCGCGAGTTCTGTCTGGCGCGGTATATCGCGTGGAGTTCCCTTCCATTCCTTGCATGCTTAGAAGCATATTCGGATCGCGCAGTCGTCATAAATTATCGCAAAGCGTGACTACGTGTGCATTCACCCGTCATTCCCTTGCGGCTAAAATCCTTATGGTTGAGTCAAAGCGATTTTGCATCTCATGAATTTCTCCAAAGGTCCAAAACTGCACGCATCAAAAGCGATTTCATATCTAAAGCAGCTCAGAATTTAAAAGAAAAAGAATTTTAAGACGTCTGTTATTAAAATTTTCACTGATGTCGAGAGACACGTATTACTTGAGAATACAATCGTGAAGAAACCTGTGAGAATTTGTGTCTAAGATATCTAATAAAATCCGCCGTTAATTCTCAACCCACGTGTTGGCCGCACCTGCGGTAGAAGATATCCAGCAAAGAGAAGCTATATAGGAACCGGGAGCAAGCAGGTAGTTGGAGGATCGACTTTCTCGACCGACGGAGACTGCCGCAACGCGCGGACAATTACAGTTTTGTCGCGGTGGGAAGTACGAGGAAGGCGAAAACCAAGAGGAAAAACGGAGTGAGTAATGCGAGGGTACGACCGTGCTGGCGAAATCAGATTGTTGCAGCACTCGGTGCGCACTTGAGCGCTGCAAACTAGGGTGCTTTTGCTTGTTGCTCGGCTTCTTTATTTTTGCTGGATGGTGTAATAAAGTATACGGGTGAGCGAGAGGGCTCGCGGACCTCTAATCTGATATCTCGACGGAAGGGGAGCGAATATTAATGTTCGTTTGCCGCGAGCAAAGCCGATGCCGCCTCGCGAGCGCTTTTATGCGGCCAACACCGGCCCACAGGCCCCACATAATGCCCCGGCACCCTATAAAGCTAATGAGTCACGCCGAGTTCACGAAGGCCGTAGGTCCCCGGCAAACAGGTGCCGCTGTAACTACCGGGATACTCGAGTGCAAGCAACGTTCATCATGTACGTTAATCTCAACCTTTTATACCCACTGTTTGCATTGCAAAACATTCGTGTGATCTCTATCGAACTTCCGTTGAATTTATTCTCATATCTAAAGAGTGCAAATCGCGTAACGCTTATCATGAGAATATATCACAAGTGACGCAAACAGAAATTGTGCATTAACACGTGATATATCGGCTGATAACTGATATCGCGTACGTGCGGTAGCAATCCGCTTCGGTCTGAATTCAAGAATAATGAAATTCATAAAAGATCGCGGTGTGAACTACTGTACATATCTTATATAAATCTTACCGAAGGCTACGACATGCGATAAAGAGAGACGTAAGTTCCTTGACCGAGATACTATTCTACCAACATTTCGCCGACTGTTAGTTATCGCTTGGATATGAATTAGTGCGTTGCTTATTAGAGCTTATCGGTGTAGTCCTACGTAGGTTGGTGCGAATGTCTTAGGACGATCGCGATTGTCTAAGAGAATTTACGGAATTTATTACAGTATAATCTCTCTCTCTCTCTCTCTCTCTCTCTTTCTCTCTCTCTCTCTCAACGAAAAATTGAAGGAAGAATTATTTTGATTGACTACTGATGAAATACTGAAAGTATTATAGAAATTTTAGACAATTTTTTTTTAATTTAGGCGGTTAAAATAATTAAAATCTAAAAAACAATCAATAAATCATCGATATACATAATTCATTTTTTCCACATTAGTTCATTTTCTAGCAGCTCAATTTTTTCATTATTGTTCAGTTCAGCATGTGAGCCTTCGTTGGTCCAGCGAAAAAACCTGCAACATTTACCGATAGATGGAAGCACAATGTCTGGTGAATCTCATTGCTTTAAATCTATACTAAATTTAAAAGACTAGAAAAAATGCATTATCTAGTTAGTCATTTTATCGTATTTAGACCTTAATGTTAACAAATAAGTATTGTTATATCATAGAATTAATTAAAAAAATTATTCGCCAATCACTAAATTATACTCAATCTTAAGTTTTACTTTTAAGATGATCTTAAAACGTGCAATTCTAATCTAAGATTTATGCAAAAAATCAAATAGGAATTAATCCAAATTACTTCAACAATTGAAATTCATATTTTATTATAGTCACAATTTCTACCTATCTCTATATTTTTTCAAATATATTTATTATTATTAAATTAATTTGCTCGATACTTTCAATTACAAATCTAAAAAATATTTCGTTTAATATAAAATTAATTAATCGAAAAAAAATAAAGATAATTAATCACAATTATTCTTTTTAAATTACAAAAAATAAAACGGCTTTGCATAATTTTATTAGAAAAAGATACGTCGAGTTACACGACAGTAGTGCACATAAATTCCTCGATCTCTCATCGCACATCTCTTCTTCCTCATAATCGCCACCGCCACCCCCACGCACATCTCTCTGAAACACGTTCTAGCTCGGGATCCACGCGCCTGCACTGCTCGAGCGCTCAAAGTCGAATGACGATCACACCCCCACCCCTTGCAAAAGCGACGCGCGCGGCACGTTCGCTCTCAGCCAATTTCCAGCGGTGGGGACCAGACTCGACCAATCAGCGTAGTTTTGTCGTACGCCGCGTCGAATCCCAGTCACGTGATTGGCGACGTGCTTCTTTCTCCGTGTAGGTGAAGTCGCGCGCGCGTTATCTTCTTTGGTGCTATCCTCGTCTGTTTCCCGTCCCTTCTATCCCCGTTTCCGTCGTTCCGTATTGAACCGGCGGTCTCCCTCTTTCTTCTCTTTGTCGGTTTCCTCGTGGGGTGCCGCCGTTCTGCTCTCTCGCACGCGAGGACACGAGCCTGGGATCCTCGAGAGCCGAACCTCGTCGCACCTACCGCACTTCTACGAACCTTCGGATTTACGTTACTCCTCTCGCTACTAGCGAGATGCTGTGATCATAGAGCGGGTCAGGCAAATAACATGAGAATAATCATTATTTTTGCAATGTACTTTAGCTGCCTATACAAAACTATAATACGTCTTAGGAAATAATTTTCAAAATATTTCAATATAATATGATTAAAAGATTTCTCATCTCGCGAGAACTTATTATAGTTATTATATAATAAAATTGATGAATAAATGATATTATAAACAGCGTATTTTTCTTGGGCAGAAACGCAGTATCAAGAAAAGGTAACGACATGAAACGAGTTGAATGTACAATATTATTTGCAACATAGTACTCGACAGAACGCGATGATATTTGCCGTACCATAGTTTACAAGAGCAACGCTTATCAGGCAGACATCGCAGTACATATTGTTACGTTTGTACAAAGACTAGTTATATCCGGTTTAATCATCTACTATAATTGCAAAGCAAACACAAAAGACATTACTCACGCAAAATCGTTTACTGTCTATAAGTTATTATGCATCCTGCCATCCTATCTACCTGCACGAATAAAGACGCCCAATTGATTTTTATTTGTTAAAAAATACTATTAATAACCCACCGACCTTTCCCAAAGCTTAAAATCCATTTTATGATTTAAAATAACACGCAGATTAGAGTCAAGCATGAGGAGCGCTAAACGACTGGGATATCATGATCCGTCACAATATTTGCACACAACCATTCGCGCGCCGTCCGAACAGTCAACAAAGTTAAGATCCGGCGCGAGATCGATGCGGTCGTATTTCAGGCCGTGCGTATACCGTCACGTATGCGTGTGACGGCCGAGATAAATACGAAGCCGCGCATTTAATCGGTCGCGCCAAGTAGAAAGAGCAATTTCGAAAGGCATACATCGCGGGAGGGAGCACAAGGCACGTGCCGGAGCTACACGCGCGTGCGTCAGCCCGTCGTATTCCGCACACGGTGGCACTCGGCTATTTTTGAGGGACGTGATATAAGCTCTGATGACGTTCGCACAACCGGTCGCATACCCGCGTTCGAGTTGGAATTACCATCGCCGATCGGCGTATGCTAACGCGCCTAGCCGGGGCCAGCCGGTTCTAATGACCTTTGCAAACGCGAGACTAATTGCCAATCCGTGGAAATACGTTCCGTCTCATTGTTTCTTGTTCTGTGAGAGCAGCAAAGCGTTACCTCTCACGCGAACTTATGCAAACGACATCCTTGCCGTGGATGAAAATATACAAGAGTTGGAAATGAGTGTCGCACCTGGATTTGAAATTTACAGATTTAATGAATATGTAATTGACATTATAGTAACAATCAATGGTACATATATTTGTGAAAGATTGTTAAATAAGCGTCATAATCGTTTTTTTATTTTAATGATTAATAGTAAAATGATTAATAAAACAACTAAGCAAAGTCATCGAAGTCGCAAGAGCAATCGAAAATTCCATTGGAAATCACCAACGTCAATCTCACTGGCAAAATCCGATCGATCGGCTCCGAAGAGATTGGGGAGTCCCAAGGGGGGGTCCAAGCCGCACGCCATAGAGGGAACCAAAGTCCTCAGAGTGGGGGTCTTAAAGGCATCGGGCCATCCGACTGTCGGAATTCGATGGTAGGGGTAGTCAGGTTAAAGCGTCACGCGCTGGATCCCCCCACTCGTATGTTCGCCACTGAATGTCCCCTCCACCGAAAGCGCCGCCACCAGGCATTCCACCGGGTGCCACGCTCCGACGGCACGTTAGAAGACGTTCGCCGTTCATCGAGTTAGTCGAGCTCAGACATCAGTCGTGAGCGGTCGTGATTTTAGCGACGTTCAACAGAAGAGACGAGTAGAAGAGTGCACACTCTTTCGTCACGTTTCCTTCGGTTCATCGTCGGATTTACGTTCGTACCGCAATTCCTTCAATTACTCTGTCGTCCGCAACGATTAGCGGACGAGGAGGAACGTCGAGCACAGCTGATTGTTGGATTACAGTGAAGTGATCGATTTCGATTCACAGTGCTTTCACGTTGATCGAAATTATTTGACTTGGGGAAGTTTTTCGGAAGTTCTGTGATACAGAATATAAATCATGGTGACTGGAGTGGGTGCCACGATGCCGACGGGTGGTGTCACCGTCGGCGCTACCCCACCCGCGCAACACGTGCCCCAGGAGGCTGGTCAGCCTCCTGCGCAAACCACCCCTACTGCCACAACGACTACAAGAAGATCTGGCGAAAATCGACGGGTTAGTGTCAAAATTGAAGATTCTTTGTTACATTTCAACTGCGTGTTATATTTTCCGCATTCGAAGTATTGACCCGGAGCAATGATTCTTTTCTATGACAGAAAAAAAAACAGTGACTAATAATATATTGCAAAATTAATGCTTTTGATAATATTATTTTCTCTTCAAACTTGAGGTGCTAGATAAATTTGCATTTAGAACTTGAAGTAAAATTACACATAGATGATTGAATCAATTAGAAATAAAGTAGACTTGAAAAGTGTCATTTATTTTGTGCTCCGGGTTTATTCTCCTTTAAATATCGGATTTTAAAATAAAATAAATATTACTTATACTTTTGCACAACATTACTAAAAGTTGCGCGAAACGTACGAAATCGATATTATTAGTGACATACCGAAAACTTCGAATTTGCTACGTGACTCACCATTAAATCACTAAACAATGATTAATCATTTCTTAATCGTCGATTTATGATGTTTTATACAAATATTATCAATTTACGAATCATTTTCGACATTTAACTTTCTGATGCTACAAAAAAATTGAACGTGTGATTTTAAAAATGACAAACATGTAAAGAAAAAAAATATTTTTAAAGTAAAATAATGTATCAAGTGAAATAAAAATGAATACTTTTATTAGCTTTGTTATTATCTATTAACTTTGTGTTTATTAAAAAAAAATTGCAATTTATTGTAATCTTTAATAGTAGTTTTTGTATAGAAAAACTCGCAGACTTTTTTTAAGGCTTTTTTTATTTCGGCATGACACTTTATTTTCGATATTCATTCCTAACTTGATTTATAACCGATTAACATTTTTCACATTTCTATTTATTACTTTTCAATTTCTGTTCACAGAGTAATAAACCCATCATGGAGAAAAGACGTCGAGCCCGTATTAACAACAGCTTGAACGATTTAAAAACTCTCGTTTTGGAATCTATGAAAAAAGACGTAAGTATTATAATATGTTTTATCTGCTTTGTAGCATATGCATATTTTATGAAATCGATACACATAAAATTAAAAACTATCTTTTTAAATTCTTTGAAGAAATAAAACATAAATTACTTTTAAAAATTTAAATTTCTAAAATCATTTTATGTGCCGATTTTTTATTTTTTTCTATTTTCAATTTTATACATATATTGCCTTATTAATTTGTCTAATCATTTTGTTTCTGTTTTTTTGTTACAGCCATCAAGGCACTCGAAGCTCGAGAAGGCTGACATTTTGGAACTGACCGTGAAGCATTTAGAGGCCCTACAACGACAGCAAATCGCTATGGCTGCCGCAGCAGATCCGAACACCCTCAACAAATTCCGCGCCGGTTACACGGAGTGCGCCAGCGAGGTTGGCAAGTTTCCCGGTCTAGATGCTTCGGTGAAGAGACGTCTGATGGCCCATTTGGCTTCATGCCTGGGTCCAATCGATGCCAACAACACCAACAATCAAACGACGACGACTCAACAGGCTGTCCAACCAGCGCCGCCGACGACGCAATTGCAAGTGCATATTCTACCTCAACTTGACACACCACGTATTCAAGTCCAGCAATCAAATGGCATTTTCTTTACTAACGCCAATGGTACGGCCTTGCATCTATTACCGACCAGACTACCAAATGGTGATATCGCTTTGGTACTTCCGGCGGGAGCGAAGGCGCCAATCACGTCGTCGCCGTCTTCGTCTCCGGCGCCAAGCTCACCGTTACCACATCTGATCCCGATTCCTCAAAGGACCGCGAGCACCGCGTCCGCATCGTCGACGAGTTCATCCAACAGCTCGACATCCACATCAGCAGGA